AAGAAGAAGAAGAAGAAGAAAAGAAGAGAAGAAGAAGAAGAAGAAGAAGAAGAAGAAGAAGTAGAAGAAGAAGAAAAGAAAAGAAGAAGAAGAAGAAAAGAAAAAAAGAAGAAGAAAAAAGAAACAGAAGAAGAAAAGAAGAAGAAAAAGAAGAAGAAGAAGAAGAAGAAGAAGAAGTAGAAGAAGAAGAAGAAAAGAAGAAAGAAGAAGAAGAAGAAGAAGAAGAAGAAGAAGAAGAAGAAGAAGAAGAAGAAGAAGAAGAAGAAGAAAGAAGAAGAAGAAGAAGAAGAAGAAGAAGAAAGAAGAAGAAGAAAGAAGAAGAAGAAGAAGAAGATGAAGAAGAAGAAGAAGAAGAAGAAGAAAAAAAAGAAGAAGAAGAAGAAGAAGAAGAAGAAGAAGAAGAAGATGCAGATGCCGAAGAAGATCAAGGAGAAGAGGAGAAGACATAGAAGAAGAAAAAAATAAGTAGAATTAGGAGGAGGAGGAGGGGAAGTAGAATTAGAAGAAAGAAAATAAGTAGAAAAAGAAGAAGATGTAAATGAAGAGGTAGAAGAAAAGTAGAAGGAGAAGGAGAAGTAGAATAATAATAAGAAGAAGAAAAAGAAGAAAATTTATTCGTTTTCTACGGCTTATCCACCCTTTGCAAGTTCTTTAAAACCAGAAAATATTTTTAAATTGTAAAAATTATTTTTTTTTACATAATAATTATTTAGTGAGGCAAGTTTTTCTAATTAGCCTATAGCTGGGGGAAGTGAAGAATAGCTGGAGGCATACCTTTCTCGAGGAAATATAACTGGAATTGGAACCCGGCCCTCCGATTAACAATTCCGAGCCATTATCCATTACACCCCACGCACACTACGCTTGCAGAACCCGGTATCATAATCAGTTACTCATCTGGGTACTGAACAGACTAGATGTTTCTTAACTTTGGTGACCATACAGGAACCGGTGTTTCAACGTGATATGGCAGGAGTGCCACTAGCACACACGGGGTTACAGAGGATTGAGAACAAGCGCAAAGAGACGCGTTTGAGGAAAGGACACAGAGGTGGACGAAGAACAAACTCAGGGTGACAGATGTCGATTGACATTACACTTGATTATTTGAAGATTATAGTCATCGGGGAAGCAAGTAATGGGAAGGGAGTTCCACAGACGGGAAGTGCGGCAGAAGAAGCTGTTTGAGAAGAGACGTTTATTTAACTGTTTTGACAGTGAAAGGGTGAGACCGAGATGCCAGCCTGGTAGCACGTTTAAATTCATGAAGTCCGGGAACCAGCGACAGTAGCTCGTCGGAACAGTTGCCGTGAAAATATTTGTAGAAAAGGCAGAGGGAGGCCACGGCACATCTGTGGGATAGCGATTGTAGGCTAGATGCCAGATCAGGACCTATCATCTTGCATATTCCTCTCTGGATTTTGTCAAGGACTTCGAGACTTACAGCGGGAGCACCAGACCATATATGACAGCAACATTCCATGCAAGGACGGATGGTTGACTTATAGATTTGAAGGATGGATTCAGACGAGAAAAATTTTTCTGGCACGACGCAAAGAATCACCTTTCCTTGCGGTAGATGACTTGCTTTCCTATTGATTCAATGTATTCATTCCATCTCATGTCAATGGACAGCATGAGGCCAAGATCTGAGAATGTTCTTAAGCAGATTGTTAGTAAAAACAGATAGGGACGAGAGGAGTGCCCTTGGGAAAATATGCATGGGCTTCAGGTGACTGCATATAAACAATGAGCTTCATAGGCTTACCGAATAACTATAGAGTGTGTGTAGCAACACCCTATGCCTCTCCTTGTCAAAAGGCCTGATAAGATTTGAAGGAAGGATAAGCCGAAACGTTGTATTAACAACAACAGCTGTCCATGATAGAAATTTGGGCAACCGACAATATGTCTTCATAAATGTCGAAAATGCAGTACTGTTGCCATATTTGGGCAGGAGCGCCTAGACATCATTTTCCAATCTTGATAGAGTTCAAAAGTGTCCTTGTTGGAGTAGAATTATTTTGTATAATAATTGTAAAATATATTCGTGCAATAACAGGATTAGGGAGATTTGAATATAGTTTCATATTATTGGATATAAGAGAGAAAAAAGAGAAAAAAAGTCAAAGAAAATTCCGTTGAAAATTGAAGTTATATTGGATTCTCTTTGATAGAGAAGAACCTAAAATTTATGCCCCACAACAGTCAAGTTCATAACGGAGAGCATGAAAAACTGGAAGACTACACTAAATCTAAGTCATACAAACGGGTCATTAATAATGTTTTCTTAACCCCACCTCGCGTTTTAGTAGCTTTGTCGCCTTGCTTGGAGTGAAATAATTCAAAAATGTATTGAGATCCTTGCACTGATGGGACAACAGTGTTACTGAAACTACTCACAGAAAACTGAAAACAGAACAATATTAAACACTGTGTTACCTTGCGGGCCTAAATTGGTTAAACCGTTTTAACGATAATATCGATTACGATGCTTTAAAACTCATGACAAAAGAGAACCTAGTGACAAGCATATTAAGAACAAGGTTGATTGAAAAAAATACCACATATAGAAAAACGTAAACATGTTTGATACGTCCTAGTTTTGCTTGGCATTTTAATGAGATGTTTTATTCATTGCTCCCGGGCGGATTTTATACGACGAACAGTGAGTCGTGATTTCAAAAAAGTGATTCAAACACAAACTAAGTAATTTAATTTTTCAGAAGCTTCCAAGACAAAGATAATACGTCCATGTCACAGATAGATAGATAGATAGATAGATAGATAGATAGATAGATAGATAGATCTTGTTTTTGATTTCAGTATCTAGTTGGATTTATATATTTGATTGCAACATTAACTATTATGCCGTTTGAACTGACGGAGATAGATAGATAGATAGATAGATAGATAGATAGATAGATAGATAGATAGATAGATAGATCTTTTCTTTTGATTTTAGATCTAGTTTTTATTTATATATTTTTGAATAACATTAACTATTATGCCGTTTGATTTTGACAAGAGATAGATAGATAATGAATAAGGATTCATAGATAAATAGATAGATAATAGATAGATATTGATATACCCATAGGTATTTATGGATGGATATTGGAACATTTCAGACTTTTTCGAATTTAACTGAGGTCGTTCATTTTACAATAATGCCTTTAGGATAGGCCCGAATGGACATATGTTTGCCCCACGCCAGGTAATGTGACAAAATCTCACGCCGCTGGGTCAATTGTTAACAGCGAAAATGCCGCATCGGGAAACAGGTAGTAAGAGTAAAAGTATAAGTAAGTATAAAAGCGTTTGCTGAAAAGTTATCGGCCCGACAAAGAAGAATTCAGAGCTTTATTTTCTTTTAATACAAATGTTTATCCATATACAAATCACAATAGCCACTTGAAGTAAACAGTTACTGCGGGGTATTGTATGTACGTAATAAAAAGACAAGAAGTAGATTCATAGAGGTTATGTAGGAATGATAACGGTTTACCCTAGACTTGAGGAGTCTAAGTTAGTAGTGATTAGGAAAACATTCTTCCGGATGTCTGTTTTTTGTTTTTTTTTGTTTCATTTCACCCCATGCAAGGCAGTAAAGCGACTAAGACATAAGGGGTTACTGAGTGTGAAACAATTAGGAATAGAAACATTAATAATGAGCGTGAAGAAAAAAGAGTAATCAGGAGGATAATAGATAATGATTGACAGTGCATTTGAATTTTTGCAGATTAAAGTTGGCTGGAAACCAAAAAGCTGGAAGGGAGTTCCACAAGCGAGAAGTGCTAGAAAAGAAACTGTTAACATAGAATTAACGGATAATCTAGCCACCTAAGCTGTTAATCTCGATTAAATCTCAACGCCAGTCTAGAACTGCGCTTAAATTTGAAAAGTTTAGGTACCATAGCGAGGAGCTCATCCGAACAATAACCATTTATTTATAGAAAAGACGCAGATGGGCCACTTTATGGCGGTGCGAAAGTGACTGAAGCTGTGCGGCTAGACCAAGACCAATAATGTTACTGAATCTTCTTTGGATCTTTTCAAGGAGCTCCAGGTAAATAACAGGGACATCGGACCATATATGGCAGCAATTCTCAAGCATATCTCCTTTTGCTCGTCTGTCCTTCAAAAATATTTCTATAATTTGTTTTGCTTTTGTCTATCTGCTTCCGTCACAGCTCTGATCAACTTCAAATTTGATTTCCAATCCCCATTTATATCTGGCGCATCTCGTCTCTTTGGTTCTTTTTTTTTATCGGCATCACCTCAAGCAAGGTACTACAGCCACTAAAATGCAACAGGTTACAGGATGTTGAAGAATTATGAACAGAAACATTAGTAATGAGCATAAAGAGAAACGTGTAATCAAGCTAAGAGTTGATAGCGATTGATATTGAATTTAAATTTTTGCAGATAAAAATTGGCTGGAAAGCATGGAGCCAGAAGTGAGTACCACAAGCGATAAGTGCGAGAAAAGAAACTGTTAGCATAGAACCTACGGCTACATCTAGCTAGTTCAACTGTGAATTAATGAGATCTCGACACCAGTCTAGAACTGCTCTTAAATCCATAAAATCTAGGTACCATAGCGAAACCCTCATCCGAACAATTACTATGAAAGTATTTATAGAAAAGACTCACAAGGGCAAGCTTACAGTAGTGAGAAAGTGACCGAAGCCGAGTCTCCAGATCAGGACCGATAACATTGCTGATACACGAAGCCGCAGTTCTTGGGAAGAAACTCTCCAAATCGAGCATAAATTCTTACTGTTGTAAAGTTTATATTTCTTTATTAGGAGTCATAAATATTTTACGTTTTTATTTATCCATCCTGTTCTTCAAACAATAAAGTACAAATTCAAATTTATTTAATTATAACTTCACAATTATTTGCAATGACAGCTCTTTGATAACTAGTGAATAAAATTCCGACGAACTCTTGAATCTGGTTTTATCGTTCCAGTATTATCTGACTCCTGCTAAGTTTACGGCCACATCACTTTGAACCACCAGTTCCCCTACGATCACCGAATTTAAGCAACGCCGAGCCTGGTCAGTAACTAGATGGGTGACAGCTTGGGCGCAACAGGTGCTGTAAGCTTGGATGTGTGGGTGGTGTAATGCATAATGGCTCGGAATTGTTAACCGGAGAGGCAGGTTCCAATTTCAGTTGGCTTTTTAATATTTACCCTTGAGAAAAGCGATGAATTCACCTCGTCGCGTAGCAATTATTCTTAGAATCTAAAAGTATTTTATGGCATTAATATAAACCGCAAAGGGTTGATAAGCCGTAAAAACGATTTAATAAATGGAATCTTACTCTGTAACACTTTACATTGAGTGGCTCTTGGGGCATGTACAGGGAGAACATCATTGTTAAAAAAAAAAAAAAAAAAAAGAAGTTTTACCCATTAAAGTATTTTTTTTCACCGACCGAAACTGGTAACAATCGGTTAGTGCAAGTTCAATTGAAAATGGTAGACCAAACCAACCGAGACCAAATTTTTATTTTCAATTTTATTTTCGCCCAATTCGGCCTTTCATTGGCATGATTTTCTTTTAATCCGCTGTGTACGCTGCCTCTGCTCCGCAAAGACTAAGGTATGTTATTGTATTCAATATTTAACTGCGACGTATGATTAATAGTTAACATAACATATTCGTCATTACAACGGTTTACCAAGAACGAAAATGACTTAAAACGCAACCGTATATATTAAGATACAGTTTGTTTTTAATCCGAAAGACAGCTTTGTCTTGATATACAAAACTAAATTTTATATCTCTATATCTATCTAACACTGACGTCGCTATCGATCAGTTAGATAAAAATTATGATTCATAATTTTGGGGATATCAGCAGTCATTACGTCAGTTAAAATCTATATTTATTTCTCCATTTTTTTTCCTCCATTTCTGAATCAATGTTCTATTATTAAACTAGTTTATAGCGATGTTGTCACAAAAGATTATATATCTTTGTTAACTCATTACTATTTTATGGTTTTCAAAAAAGTGCCTCTTTTCTACATATTTAATGGTTAGCAAGCTTGTCTCGCTAGATCAATTGCGACTGAATAACCTTGGGAACTTGAAACGTGGGCATTGTATTCTCTTTTGTTAGCTAAAAATAACATAACCGAATATTCACCAACACTAAATGGATGAAACTCCAGACCTCAAAATTAATGGGTCTTATGATCTCATGAAGATATTTCTGTGATCGGACGTTAGCCGATAAGGAGTATGTCTTAGTATGGGTATTACAAATTTCGAGTATACAGCTGGGTCGCTGGAAACAAGTAATTTATGTAACCGCAGCGTACACTTTTGTAAATTCTGGTGGAAGCTAAGTTGAAGGGATGTTTCATTAAATAGTATTGCGTTCGTGACACATTATTAGTATACGATTATTAATTACTAAGCATTGATCACACTAACATAATAAAATACTGTTTAAACGGAGTGTCTACTCAATTAATAAAATAAAATAAATAAAAATAACGCTTAAATTGATAAAAGTATGCCGGATTATTAAATAAAATCAATTATATTATTATTTTGAGAGAAATATATATATATATATATATATATATATATATATATATATATATTGTTTATACGGTTCTTTTTGTTTTTCTTTTTTTTTAGTTTAAGAGCAGTAATTCTACCACGCTAACCAGACGCTTCCTCTGTAGCTAAATGATATAGCACGTCAGACTATATGACGGTTCCGTGTCGAATACAGGTTCGATTCCTGTCAGAGGACGCGTATTTTTCTTTGAAGATTCTCGAACATTCAGGCCGGTAAATTTTGTTAATACCAGCATTATAACAAATAGCATTTACTTAAATATTTTATCTATGAGAAATAATGTATAAACAATAAATATATTAAAATAATTGTCGGGCTTAGTCCACTTCATAATATATATATATATATATATATATATATATATATATATATAGGATATGTTCCAACAATGAAGAATTAAATAAACATATTGGAAATCTGGAGCATCAATTCACAACATGTAGCTATAAACAACACCTAATCAGGGAACAAATAAATATAGCAATTTTCACACCTAGAGAAGACACCCTAATCTACAAGATTAAAAATAAATCTAGCCGCATTCCTCTAGTAACCACTTTTAACCCCACTCTGCCTCCACTATCCCAAATAATCAAACGTCGCTGGGAAATACTACATCTCAAACCAGATCTAAAAAAATTGTTTAAGGAACTCGGCCTTCTTGCATATCCTAGACCTAAGAACCTAAAAGAAATCATAGGTAGTAACCACATTTCAGGGGACAAGGTAATCCGTAATAAACTAAGAACAAAAACAACAGGATTTTCCCAACCATGTAACAACAAAAGAAGTTTATGCTGCAACCATATTAAACACGCGAATTCATTCACAAGCTCAATCACTAAATCTACTTTCAAAATCTACCACGATTCTAACTGTTGAAGTCATAACATAATTTACCTCCTAAAATGCACACTATGCCAGAAACAATATGTAGGAAAATCTGAATGGCCCTTTCACTACAGAATTAATAATTATCGCAATCGAATTAAGTCGATTCCCCATGAAAGATTATTACCTGTAGAACAACATTTCCGCCTGGAAAAACACGATTTCAAAACTCATGCCAAATTCACTATAATTGAGAGAACAGAAAAGTTCAGAGCAGATAACATTAGAAATATTTTAGAGTTTCATGAAAATAAGTGGATACAACGTCTAAAAACACAATATCCAGCCGGGCTCAACCATAAATTTAACAATATAGATAGTACTAATATAAAACTCAACAACACCCACACAAGACAGACATGCTTACGGAGGTGTTGAGGCCTCACATCTATACACACACCCACACGAATATACACACATCATACCCACTCACTCCCTAATGAGCCAAATGATAATACACACCCACAGCAATACACACGCTTACACATATCATACTCACTCACTCCCTAAGAACCAAATAACACACACACACAAACACTAAACAGAGACACATCCCATCTCCAGGACCAATAAAACTGTCAAACTGACCAAGGGAATTCAGAGAAGCATAGATCCATCCAGATCTTATCTCAAATAACAACTTAAAAGAGACTGTTTGACCAACACAAGGAATGTTAAAAGAATCATGTTAAGAAGATAAAAAAATAAAAAAACAAATGAAAACTACAGACAAAAGTTCATTTTCTCCAGCAAGACATTCATTTCTGTAGTTTACTGCAAGCAGAAATATTTCTTCTCCCGATGATCGCCTTTTTGGCCAAAACTAGTCGAGGAATCTAAATGAAATAATAATAAAAAAAAACGAAAGAATATTAATCTACAACCCAGTGTGTCTGAAGATTTTAATTTTTTAATATTTTTTTATTGTTCAAAATTATTTTTTTTTAATTTTTTAATATTTTTTTATTGTTCAATATATATATATATATATATATATATATATATATATAATTACAAAAGAATTATTGGTCAGAGTTGAATTGGACCAGGAACCAGTAGTATTAAAAAGTGTTCAATCCACGTATAATGAAAAGAAAAAAATTTACACGCCGAGCTTTTAAATTCAAAACATTAGCAGATCAATCGATCACGCTAAATAATTTCCTAAAGTTTTAAAGCGTTAGGAAATTATTTACCGAATTGCCTCAAGAAATCGAATGGCTGAAACGAAGGTAGCATGAACAGTTGATTTACTCATTTTTAAATATATATATAGAGAGAGATGCGCGCGCGTGTCTGTGTGTGTGTTTGTGCGTGCATGTGTGTGTGCATTTAAAGAACTTCACTCGTTTAAATTTTTTTTCTCGAAAACATATCTGATCGATTTAGCATCCAAAACGTAAACAAAGCAATTTCTAAAGAATTAATGAATTTTATCTTGTTAATCTTTGTTTTTATCTATCAACCTGAGTACTTATGAAAAACCCGTGTACATTTCACGGTTTTCCTGTTTTTTTTATTTTCTGACGGATCTTAATCCTTAATTAATGGTTGAATAAACTCATGGCGGATTCTATGGCAATAAAATATCCGTAGAAATTATCATATCGTTAAATATTTGAGCTTAACAACCTTAAGAAAATATTGCAATAACAATAATAAATATGAATGCTGTTTTTTTTTTTTTTATTTTTTTTTTTTTTGCTGTTGTTCTATTTTAAAGAGTAAGAGGGTATAAACGAAAAAAAATGTGAAATGGACTACCTTTTCCATATCAGTGAAAGGGCCGTTAAGGATTTTTGTCTTATCTTCTTTCTTTCTTTCATTCATTTTCCCACTGAACCCAAGTAGTGTATTTTCATCCCGTTCCACGCGATCAAAACAGAATTGTTCGTTATTTATTGGTTATTGGCAGGACGTAAAGGTCGTGCGAACTATCGAAGGGTGTGAGAAGCACAACTATAGTTGGATAATATATACGTTGGTTCATAAACTTTCACCCACCAGCACCCCTTTTCCTATATTTAACCCGGACCTGCACCACCGAGGCTTAAAATTTGCATTGGTGAATGGAGCATAGTTAAACCGACAGAGTTAATGTGATGTGTTTAAGTTTCGTTGAATTATAGCAGCGCGAATCACAGTAAGGAAGCTGTGGCGGCAACAGCCATGCAGTAGTTACCGAGCCAAACAGTACAAGCGCTGGACTTTGGCTTGAAGGTTTTCACTCCATAAACCTCGTTTATTTTTTTAATCATTTCACCCCACCCAAGCAAGGTAATAAAGCCACTGAGACGCGAGGGGTTACAAGGCAGGATATAATATGAGAAAAAAAATTATTAAGGAGAAAGAATAATAAAATAATAGAAATTAAGAAAGCAGAAAATAAAGATTGACATTGCATTTAAATATCCGATTAAAGTAAAAAAAAAAAAAAAGAACAAAAAAGTTCGTTAGAAACAAAGGAAAAAGTACTGAAAACTTATCTAATATCAATCCCCCTATATGGTAGTGAATGTTGGACAAACTCATCTCAGATGAAGAAGAGACTTGAAGCAGCAGAAACAAAGAAAAGAGTACGTAACTAATATGTAATATCTGTCCTCCTATATG